TATCCTATGTAGTGTGTGTTTTCATCACTACCTCTTGACTTGAATATCTTGTTGGAAAACTGTGACCAAACTTTGCAAACTCTAACCTTAACACTAATCCAACAAACTGAACTTGTTTGCAACAAAGATGTTAATGTTTATCACTAAAATATTTGTCAAAATGTTGAATGAATCACATTTTTTTGTTGTTTATTTATTTAAAATATGTAATTTTGTCATTTAGGATTTTTTTTAACAATGTGTAATGAAAAATCTTGATCTTGAAAACTTGAAAAGTATCAATGGTAATCATGTATGAAGAGGTATTGACTGTTCAATTAGTTGCTTAAAGTTAGTTGCTAAAAAATTCAAGCGTGCTGATAAATTAAAGTTAACGTATCTAATAAAGTTGGAAAATGGTAATATTGTGCACATTAGTAAAATAATGCCAATAACAGTAACATTTGAGGATACTGGTATGAAGCATGTGTTTTGATCGTTATAATCAAAATGGATGCTGATTACAAAGACAAGGTAGAAGTTTAGAAAATAAAAAATAAAAGTTGAATTGACACTTGTTTGATTACCTCGTTTGTAATTTATTGTCATGTACTGTAACATTCTCTACATAGCCTGCTCAAGCATTTTTTCTCTCAAAATTGAGACACAAAACCCAACTGTTTAGCTTTCAAACACATAACGTATTAGGCTTCTAGGAATATACCTCTTTTATTATCCAGGAAATTCTTAGTTTTCTTTCTTATAGGTGTGGCGCAGTTGTCTATGTATCAAATGTCTTGCAGTAACACCAGTGGTCCTCTGACTAAACCCCACAGCAGACCAGTTCAGTTCCTCTGACGCCGATCAGGGAGTAAACTGCTCCAACATGTGAGTATTAAGTATGCGTTTGGGGTGATAACAAAAAAGAAGCCATTTCAACAGCTGTGATGATCCATTAATATTATTGATATTCATCTAATCTTCTCCCCTCGGGGACAAAAGGAGTTTTTGGTCTCAACACTTCATTTGATAATCTGCGAGTAAAAGTACAAAAGAAGCATTCTGCGGATTCTTAACCTTTGCTCAACTTTGGCACTCCCAGAGGCAGGAAAGGAGTATCTTTCACCACAGTTATTAGTTCACAGAGACACCCTTGACCTCTGCGGTGGTAGCCAACTGTCAACATAACCGGTGTTATTGTAACGCAGGTTCACTCTCTTTAACTTCTATTCAAGTCATCCAGGTCTACCTGTTGGCCTGCGCTCCGCATACCTGGCTTTGAACGCATAAACTGCAGGTTTTAATTAAACTCACATTGACAGCATTTCAAAATGACACTGCCATGACCCCCAGACTACTGCTTGTGTCCTAATGCATAGAACAGAACAGAGCCTTGTATGGTGACTTATGATGGTGTTTTTTAACCAAACTGGACAATAGAAAAAAAATGCAAGGCTGCAGCATCCCAGACAATTATTTAAAACTATTTTTACCCACTTATGCATTTAATGCATATGCACGAGTGTAAGCTGTAAATTTACAATATGTGCATTATGAAATTATCTGCCTTGTGGAATTATATTTGTAATATGTACAATGACAAGAAAGTTGAATCTAATCTCTTTATAGTAATGTTTATTTTTTTGGTTAGAATTCAAAGAACAGATGTGCAAACAATTTTTACATTTATTTTTAAAATAAATATTAAAATTGCCATATATTTACTTAACTCAGTTGAGTGGAACCAGTTGACATAACTTGGTTAAGTTAGTCTAACACATCTGCTTTGTTTTGTTTTTTTGTGCAGATTTGCCTTTTTATAAATATCACAAATTACTCATTTGAATAACTTCACACCTCTTTCATCCAAGGGATTTTGCAAACACACACACACACACACACACACACACACACACACACACACACAC